AGGAGCTGGCAAACAGTGAAGTTATCTCTAGGTTTTGCTGAGCTTTGGGAATTCTGACGTGTGTTAATCACCCAACAGTAACCACAAAACCTGCCAGCACTGGGCTGCTTGACCCAGGGAGTAATTTCAGCCATGTTAAGGGGTTTAACTCTGCCCCTAGCATCCTTCTGTGCTCCTGTGTGTGTCCAGGATTGGGCCTCTTGTCCCTCATGAGCTCCCTCCTGGGCTTGTGGATGAGTAACTGGATTCCTAGAGAGCAAGAGGGCCGGGGCCAGCTGTGCTTAGGACATGGGAAAAATGAAGGCGAGATTAAGAAAGAGCTCTGTGCCGTGTCAGGCTGTCTCTGCATCTGGCAGGGCTGGCGGTGTACAGCCCCAGGAGAGCTCCCTCATCCTCCTCCAGCCTCTGGCTTTCCTTCCAAAGCCCTGACATGCAGTCTGGCCCTTGCAGGAGCCATCCCAAGCCCAGGAGAGGCGGGCAGTGAGGCAGAGAGGGAAGGGCCAAATGTCAGACCATCCTCTTCCCAAGAGCTGGCCCCATCTGGCTCACCCAGCCTTGCCTGCTAGTGCCGTCCATCCTCCTCTGATAGTAGATGCCCTGCTCCCGTGGAGGGAAGGATGGGATGCCAGGGCTTTGTTTTAGGGCTGCAGCCATCCAGGCAGGTTTTGGCCTTTGCCACGCAGGTTATGTCCTGGTGGAAGTGCATCCATGTCCCTTTGGAGTTGGGGGCTGTCGTCGCACTGTCAAGCAATGGGAACTGGTTCTGCCCCCAGGAGCGTGACCAGCTGGCCCCGAGTCTCCCCTGCCCTGGGCTCCTCAGAAATGGGGGAGAAGGAGGCAGAGCTGGGGTTGGATGTCTGCCAGGTCTAAGCTCTTGGCTCAGACCCGGAGCAGCGAGCCCCGGCGTGCTGCCGGCTCCGTTCCCCCTGTTTTCCCGCACATCTGGAGCAGATGCAGACACTGGAGGTCTGTCACCACTCCCACGCCTCGGCACCGGCTCTGGCACCCACATCTCCCAGGGCCCCATGGCTTTTTTCCTGCTCCTGGCCAGATGCACGCTGCCAGATGTAATCCCAGGGCCCTGGGGTCCCCACAGCTGCCAAGGGGTGCTGGAGGAGGAGGAGGAGGCTGTGATGCTGCTCAGCAGCTGCAGGAACACACATCTTTGCACTCCTGTGTGGTAGGAGGAGAGGGGAGCTTAGGGGGGGTCACACAAGCTTGTCCCCTTCTTCATTGTCCTGGTGGCCTCAGGGCTCTGCCTCACCTGAAAGCTTTTAAGGAAGCCTTGGGCAGTAATCTGTTGTGCCCCCAAGGTGCTGCCAAGACCCCTTCCCATTCCTTTGCCTAACTTGTTTCCAGAGGTAGCTTTGCTTTCTCTCCCTGAAATCCAGCCCTTGGGCTGCATCTTCTGGACATGGAGCTGGCATCAGGCAGGAGACCTTCCAGCAGGGCCCCATGCTGGATTTGGCTCTGGAGAGTTTACTGAGGCAAGGGTGGGGTTCAAACTGGGTGCCCCAGCTTCTCCTCTCCTCGAAGACCTTTTGGCCCCTCTCCTGGGATTTGGTTGCAGCTCCAGCCTTGGCAATCTCTGGGTGGGCTCTGGTGGGACTTCATGGTGGTGCAGGGTGCCAGGGTTTTGCTGGTGGCACTGAGTTGACTTTCAACTTCGCTTTGGGAAAGCACTTCCCAGCATTGGGAAGCTTTCCTCCGCTCCTGGGTGGGAGAACAAGTCCAGGTGCCCATCGTCACGCTGAGCTTGCCCCCGCTGCAGGTGGGAGGTGGTACAAGAGGCACCTGACGTACCGGGTGGTGAACTGGCCGCCGTACCTGCCGCAGCACGAGGTGCGCCTGGCCGTGAGAGCCGCCTTCGAGCTCTGGAGCAACGTGTCCTCCCTGCTGTTTTGGGAGGTGCAGGACGGCCCCGCTGACATCCGCCTGACCTTCTTCCACGGGGACCACAACGATGGACTCAACAACGCCTTCGATGGGCCAGGTGCTGGTCGCTTCCCCCTCGTAAGCTGCTCTTTTACAACGTGGGCTCTTCCCCGGCAGGGAGGAGGGCTGGGGGTGAGGGAGGCAGGGCTCTGCCCCAGCAGCGCCTCTTAGCCCAGTTTGCACCAGTTTGCTGTCTGATTTGAGGTCCTCCCTCCCGACTCTGCAGCTGAGGTCTGCCAGTGAGGTGGCTGAGACATTCCTTGTAGGATATTCCTTATTGCTGGTGGCCTTTAAGGAGCCCTCCCCATTTGACGGCACCCTCCAAACCAGAGCTGAAACTGGTGCCCATTTAAGCAAACCAGAGCTGCATGTGCCCCCTGCCCCGTGGTCCCTGACGGCTCTCGTGTCCCCAGGAGGTGCCCTGGCCCACGCCTTCTTCCCCCGGCGTGGGGAAGCCCACTTTGACAGCGCCGAGCGCTGGTCCCTGCGCAGCGGCAAAGGGCGCAACCTCTTCATCGTGGTGGCTCACGAGGTCGGGCACACGCTGGGGCTGGAGCACTCCCCCGTCAAGAGCGCCCTGATGTCTCCCTACTACAAGAAGCTCAGCAAGGATTTTGTCCTCAGCTGGGATGACATCTTGGCCGTCCAGAACTTGTACGGTGAGCCTGGCTTCCCTGAGCATCCCCTGTGTGGCTGGGGAGGAAGATGTGGGAGGACGTGTGGGGTGGGCACCAGCTCCTCCAGGGCAGGGAGGGTTGGACTTGCTGCCTGCTTGTCTGCAAGCAGGGAAATGCTGGTGCGTGTTTTTTGGGGTACCAAGGGGTCTTTGCCACCACCACATAGAGGGGGACAGGAACTAGAGAGTGGGACAGGGAGTGTTTGGAGCCCTGGGATGGCTCCTCAGCTCTGTGCTTTGGACAAAGCCCATTCCCT